GGTATTAATAACTATATAAATTAATTAAATTCATATTTATTATTAATTAATTAAGTACTAAGAGTACATGTTCTTCTAAAAAAATTTCCCGGGTAATATTGCTTTGTGAAAAATGCTTCAAAAATGCGAATTTGAAATTTTAAATCTGGTTTTGATGACCACTCCAGAGTTAAATTCAGACATTAATTTTTCCAGAATTATGTTGTAAGTCTGGGGGCCGTAAGTGAAAATTGTGTTTTAGGCGGAAAAAATCAACAATCATCGCACAGGAACGTGACATGTGCTCCCAAAGTTACTTATTTATTAGTATTATAGATATGAGCTTAATCAGATGAGAACTGATTAGTTAGTGATAACTGTGAGGTCCAATCTCAACCACAAATCAACGGATAAATTAGGAAATTAATMATTATGGTAGTTTGAGTTAAAATTATAATTAGAGGACATATTAGGTATTTTTTAAAAACTCCTCTCTCCTCTCTCATCTCTCTGACCTCCAATCTCCGGCCTCCTGTGAACATTAATCCGGCAGGTATCACAGTATATCACAATGGGTATCACATTGTGTATCTTTGTTTTTAAAGTTTGAGTTGGTATCATAGTTGATATCACAATGGGTATCACATTGTATATCTTTGTGATTACTTGGTACATGTCGGCTTAATGTTCACCGGAGGCCGGAGATTGGAGGTCGGAGAGATGAGAGAGGAGAGAGAAGTTTTTTAAAAATACCTAAAATGCCCTCTAATTATAATTTTAACTCAAACTACCATAATTATTAATTTCTTAATTTATATGTTGATTTATGGTTGAGATTGGATCTCACAGTTACCACAAACTAATTAGTTCTTTCTTGAATTGACCCATATATATATATATATATATATATATATATGAGCGATCAAATGAAAATCACTCTCATTTGTAAAAACCGTACAAACCACCCTCATACGTCGATTTTATTGTTTAATCTTATAAAAAAAATTCATGAAATTGTTTAATCTTGTGAAATTGTTCCATATAATACTTTTTTGATGAATTTATTTCATATATGGTTATGAAATTGTTTCATATAAATATTTAATGAAATTTTAATGAAACTGTTTCATGTATTTCTTTAAAATTAAAATAATAAAGATGATAATATCCATGATTAATACCCTCCACAATAAAAATGGTTAATCAACCTCTCATAATTACAAAAAAATGAACAAAATAAAAAATTATGATTGGTTGAATAAGGTTTTCACGGTTTTAC